TTATTTAATTTTTAATTAAAATAAATTTCAATGTAAGAATGGTTGTTATATGTTTAAATTTTGCATTTTATGTAATATTATTTATGTTTATAATTAAATTATATGAAATAATTGTTGTTTACATTCATTGTGATTCGCTATTAATCATAAAACATTTTATTGTTAGCCACAAACAGTCAATATGTAAATACATATGTATATGTATGTATGTATTTTAATTTTTTTATTTAAATTTATTAAAAAATTGTTTGTTATATTTGAGCATAAGAATCGTTTCTTAATTTTTGTTTTTTATAAACGATATAAATTATGTCATATTGTACCGCATATGTATATGTGCATCCATTAAAGCAATATAAATATTATAATTAGAATTATGTAAAGTGTAAATCATTTCACTTATTGCTTTGAAAACAATATTATTATTAAATTAATCTAAAAATTCTAAAATTAATTGCATCTTTTATTAACACAAAACGAAAAGTCAAAAACATATAATAAAGTCAATAAAATGAGGGATATCGCAGTAGGCTTGACCTGGAAAGTGAAGACACTTGCAGATTCTTGGAGCAAGATGCGGAAACTTCGGTACACTTTCTGAGAGACTGTGAATCTTTCATCCCCACAAGAAAATAGATCTTTATAAATGGTCGCGGTGCGGTGTTACTCCGATTGAACAAATCTACAATCTTGACTAGCCCAGTTAAAATTATTTAAAAACTCCATCTTTTTTATAAAAATACATTGTTTTTTTTTCTAAATTTGCCTATATTTTAAAAATGAGTCCATTTCAAAAATTTCTCAGCTTTTTTTCCAGACAGCTAAAACAAAAAAATGAAATATTCAACTTGTTTAATTATTTAGTGCTTTTAAGCAATTAAGGTAGTTTCTTGAAAATTTAATATTATATTATTATTTTTTTAAAAGTTTTGTTAATGGCTGCAGATTTTCATATAACGTTAGATATATTACATTTTTAGTTTTTTAATTCAGTGTTATTAGCCAAAATATAAAAATCCAAATTAAATCAAGATTAAAAAAATTTTAATTTGTGTTAATTAATTCTATATTTTAGTTATACATTTTTATAAAAATTATGAGTTGTGTATAACATATAGTTGTACCGATATATAAATATGAAATCTGGATAATATGAAACATGGAGGTTCATTATTAACAAAACATTAAACTTGGGTTAAAAGTGGTTTCTTTTAAATTTAAAGTGACCAAAAATTCAAGTAAATGTTTATTTGCTTATGCAACAACATAAATTTCAATTCCAATTATTGAATTGGACAATATAATTGCAAGTGAACACAGGTCACATTCAAAATAAACCATTCACTTAATTAACATAAAAACTCGTAAATTATTTTTAAATTGCTGGTCTTCAAATTTGATAGCGAAATGAAGAATTTGAATAAAATTATGTTCATGAATCTTTGATTTAATATTTGCATTCTTGTTTACTATTAGTAAGTTTATTAATAAATTTATGAAGATTTTTATGTACGGACATAAATTAAGTTCATTATTTACATATTTTTTGTATTTTGTAATTGTATAATAATATCATATACATATTTATAGTATTTATTTTATTTTATTATATTTATAATAAATTTTCCATTATACAATTCATAACTATTTATTTATAGTATGTACATTTCTTGTATGTTTGTATATACGTACATAACGTTATTTATAGTTATATATTATGTACGCTTACATATATATATCTTATGTTTTTTTATATATAAATATTAATAATTTTAATTTAAAAATTGATCAAGACACTGAATTACATTGTTACATACATATATATCTATATGTATTAATTTATATTGTTTTACTTTAAGTATATATACATATATTTTGTTAAAAATATTTAAATTTTTTAAAAAATTGTTTAAGACGGAAAAAAATTTATATAAGTATATTGTAACTATATATTCTTTTTTAATATATGTGTAATTTTTATGCAAGTAGATCATTTTAAAAATATATGTTATTTATTTTCATATAGTTTATATTAACATGTATAGTAATTATATTAACATGTATGTAATATTAGTATGTATTTCATATAATTTGTATTATATACAAAAAAATTTTAAAAGTAAAGCTTGAAAATATTATAAATCAGTCAATATTATTAGTTTCAATATACATACTTAATACGAGTACGTAGTGTCGTGCGTTTTTTCTTATTTCAATTTATAACGGCATATATACTGAAATTAAAATACACAATTAATTATATATTTATTATAATATGTTAAACCTTGTATTTTTTGCTCAGCATTTTAGTATGGTAATTGGGTGTTTTTGTTCAATTAATAATTTAACTATAATTTTTACTACAATATTTGAAAATAAAGCGAATATCGTTGGAAGGTGACAAATATAGTGATTCCACACCTGTAACATCAGCCTATAACTTGTAGGTAGGTAAATTAAATGAATTGTTTAACAGATAATTATTTGACAGTAATTTGACTTCCTGTCACATGATAGGGTTGCCCAAGATAGGTAATTGATTATAATACATTATAATGAAAGTTAATCATTTATAATATTCTATGAAAAGCGTTCAGTAATATGATATAACTTTCAATGAGAAATGTAGCAATAGAAAATGGAAAGAAATATATCACTTGATCATTTCTCTTTCAATTAACTCATATATCATATTGATGTCAAATAATAAATAATTATATTAATTTTATATTGACGTTTCTTTTAAATTTAAGTGAAACTTTTTCGAAGTACATATTCTATACCTATTCTAATTTTTTTGAGACTATATGAAAAAATCGAAAACATTGTTTTTTATGGGAAAATTTTAATTTGCGCAGACCTAATTATTTATTTGACAAATAAAGATATTTATTTGGCAATTATGGCTGTTACGTTTAAACCAGCATATATAAAAGTTCTATTCTACTGTACGATAACTTAACATCATAATATTAAACACAATTAAACCTAACTACTAATTAAATCCCAAAATGTCTGAAGCAGCAAAATTATTCATTGCTTTTTCCTGTTTCTCAAGTTCAGTTATCATTATCAATAACGACAAAATAGAGAATTTTATTCGAGTAGGTAATAAGGTTCTTATGTCATGATCATATTAGGATGAGTGTTTTTAAAAATGAAGTTCTTAAGGTTAAAACTGCAAAGCTTTTAAAGCTGCATATACAAATTTAATGTAAAACTTTTAAAGCTTTGCAATTCAAAAAACACCTTATACTTTACTTTTATAGGCTGACAAAATAAGTTTTAAAGAAATACATTCAGATTTAGCTCTATTTTAAATAACTTTAATTATTTCAATAAAATTTCTTAAAAAAAATAATATTATAGTACATTAACGTAAATTATGTTAGTTACTATTTAGAAAAAATCAAGAAATAGAGATATTAAATGTTCCGATCTAAAGACTGTAGCAATATTAATGTATACACACAATGTAATGACGATTTTCTTATCATTTTAACGTAAGCATGTTGATTTTTTGATTTTTTTCAAAAATTTTTTACAGAAAGAAAATAAAAATATTATTAAAATTTAATATTAATATTATATGTACGTACTTCTCATTCACTTTTATTCACAAACACAAACTTAAATTTTATATGAAAAATATAACGCCTCATTTCAAAATTAGGTCTTTATACATACATATATACGGTATGTTTGATGACTTTAAATTTTAAAATGGAATTAAATGGTTTTTTGTTTCTATATGTATTTATCATGTTTCCATACTATAATTCACAGGCTAAAGTATAAAATATCAAATTATTTAAGTATATATATATGTATATACAGTATATAAATGTGTATATATGTGTATTTATATAAATATATATGGGGTTGAAATAGCGTCTTAAATGTTTAAAACGATATATAGCTGCCGCTGTTTAGGTTTCTGAAAATTGATTTTAGCAATTTTATATTTATCATAAGAAAAAATATATAGTATACAACATACACATTTTTACATACTCAAATACACATATACACAACAAAAGATATAACAGTATATATAAATATATCTACATACATATATATATGAAATATATATATTATGATATATATATACTAATATATATATATACATATATATAAATATCTATATATATATATTATATATATATATATATATATATTTTATATATATATATAATATATATAGTTCTTTTATATTTATATATAATTTTTTATAATAACTGTAAATTTTCTTTTAATTGAAAAATTGACATAATTTTTTGGTTATAATTTATTAGAAAAATTGCCACGTATTAATATTGTATGCATATATAATAGGTGTATATGTATGTGATTACTTAAATATTTGTAATATTTTAAAATAAAAAAACATTTGTTCTTATAGAACTTACATACATATTTGCATATACATATATATGTATATATATATAAAACGTATACAACATACAACGTATAACAATTCATATATTCATATACGTATATATGAATTGTTCATATGTATATATGAATTGTTATACGTTGTATATTGTACACAACAATAAATTTATTTTGTTTATTAATTTCAGAATATATATACATATGTATTTAAAAAAATTAATTTAATTTATTATTATACAATATATATGTGCCATATTATATACTAAAATATATATATTTATAATATATTTTAAAGCTCTTGAATTGAAATTTGTTGATTTATTAATTTACATACATAATCTCTATATAACATATTATATATTTATATATATTAAATTCAAAATTTAAGAAAAATTTTTTTATAAAACCAAATTCTAGCTAGCTTTTATTTAATTTTTATTTTCTCCACTCCAAAATTAAAATATAGGAAATTTCAAAAAATATGTGAATAGAAATTTTTCAGAATTAAAATAATTTATTGAATTTTGTAAACGATATATATATAGTTATTTTATTTTTAAAAAAATATTTACTTTAGCCTTTGTAAAGTAAAACTTCAATTAAACTTTTTAAATAAAACAATTTTATGCAATATAATATAATGGTTGTTAATATTGCATACATTTAGGTGAACGAAGCCATTTTATATTGATTAAATTTTTTTGTTGTTACTTAATTTTATTACATTGTAGCAGTTTAAAATTATTGAAATTGTGGAATCCTCTTATAATAAATAAAATTTAAATTTTTACTTAATCAAATATCAAGCTACTCTATCATGGCAATTCTAAATCATGGTAAATAAAAATAGAAATCTGAATCAATTAAATTATTAAGATTTTTAATTGAAGTACATGCAACATTTTTTATGTACCTTGAAATATTTACATAAATTGCCCGTAAAAGGAAAAATATTAGCAAACTATGGTTTTTCATAATAATTTTTTAGGAATATCATGATTACCATAGAGCTTTAGAAATAAACTAAAATTCTACTCTTATATTTGACTCATGCCAAAAAAATTTAACACGCCTCTTAAAAATCACAATTAAAATATTTTGAATCAATTGAAGAACTTAATTATAAAAGATTTTTAGTTTACTGAGTATAGAGGATTAGTCCCGTTTCAAAATACAACAATTTTTGATTTGAATTTAATATATATACAATATCTGCCAATATTTACTTGTGTATGTATATAAATACGTTTAAATTATGTAAAATTTTGCAATAGAGTTCATATGGTTAAAGTTTTTGAAAAAAAGTTCTAGCTACTAGAATAAGCATTAAGAAAGGACATACCTTTTTTCGTTTTATATTTATAGTGAAAAGTTTAGCCCCTTTTTTGTAATATTTCAATTTATTTATTTAATTTTTATTTAATTTTTTTATATTTTTTTTGTTTTTTCTTTTGGAAGTATAATTACAATAAATATTTTATAAATATAGTTTCTCTTTGCTCATATTTATGTAGTTATGTATATTAATTACAAGATGTTAAATATTTTTATTTATTTAATTTTTGATAAAATTCAATGCATTCATTCTCCTTTACATTATTTGTGTTGATTTCAACTTTATGAATAGACTCACTCTTTTTGCTTAATTATATTTTTATAAATTTATTTAGGATTATTTTCCACCTGATCTTGTTGTCCATTGGCTGTAGATGATGTTTGTTGTTGAGAGGGTGTTGACGTTGTTGTTGAATTTCCTGTTTTATATTTTCTTTGTGGTGTTGGTGGTGGTTGTTTTTCTTTTTTAGTTGCAGTTTTCGGTGATTTATTTACTGAATTTGGTGATTGTGATCTTGGAGAGATTTTTTGTTGCTGTTGTATTGACGATGATGGTGATGATGACGAGGATGAAGATGATATATTACTACCTTGCGGTTGTTGTTTTACAGATTGTAATTGTTGTGATTGCGGTTTATTTTGTAATTTTTGTGTATGTTTTGGTGAATCTGTAGTATTTGTTGCAGCGGTCGATGTTGTAGTTGCAGTTGTTATAGTTCCTGTTGTTGCAGTAGTACTCAATGGTGTCGAAACTGGTGTCTCATCTATGAATAAAGGATTTTTTACTTCCATTTCGCCTGTCTATAATGTAAAAAAAATAAAAAAATACATTATATGTTAAAAATTGACTGTAAATTTAACATCATTATTATAATATATACTTTACCGATGCCAATCCGGGACATTCATATACTGTATAATCTCCTTCATCATTATCATCATCACTTTCAACATCTGACTGCCCTGTTGTTTGTTCTGGCGGTTGCCGATTTTCCATACCAATAATTTGTTGTTTCTGATGTTGATAATGGTATAACTGTGCACTTTGTGCTAACCGTTTATCACCAGAAGGTGATAAATCTTTATTAGGACCAGTTACTCCATACGCAGGATAATCAACATCAGCAGCCGCTTTTGTTCTTCTTTGTAATCTGTATACAATAAAAAAATTGATATAATTTAATTTTTATTCACAAATATATTTTATTCAAGTTATTTACGTTATCCACGCGATTCCCAAAGCCATAAAACCAACTAAAACAGCTGCTGTAATTCCTGATAATAAGGCAACCATATACATACTGACGTCATTATCCCCAACTCTTTCTTTAACAACTACTTCTTGAGTTCTCTGACCACTACTTAGTAATGAATTTGGATTGCCATTAATAACAGTATTTGCTTTACCCTCTTGCTGTAATTTCTGTACAAGTTTTGCAATATCATCACGTCCTCGAAATGGTTTTGGTAATAATAATGATTGCAAAGATTGAGTTGTTTTTGAGGTAAAATCCATTGGTGGCTTAACTTTATTAAACAGAATATCTTTTACACTTTTATTATTATTATTAGCAAATATCCCTTTTCCATTAACTTCTTTATTAATATTAAAATTGTTATTAGGATTTGTTATAACAGAATCATAAGAATTTAATAAATTTTTTGTAGCAGCTAAGCTACCACTACTTAATGGATCATCATTTAATGAAATTTGATTTTTGTTGTGACCTTCATAGTAACGAGGATCGGAGGGATTTACTGCAAATTCAATTTTACCAGTTGGTTCGATTTCGTGATTCGCTTCTGGAAATTCATATGTGAAACTTTGTCCAGGTGCTGAATTATAGTCTTCATCAAGAATTGTATTTGGATTTGGTCCATTTTGATTGTGTTGACTTAAATGATTATAGAATTGATCTTGTACTAATTTTTGTTGAAAACGTCGTCTTGCTAAATCTTCAACGATTTGTGTTAAAATATTTGTTTCCTCGACAGAAGTTAATTGTGGTGGACGCCGTCTTAAACCTTGGATAAAAATTGAAATTTAAATCTATTAATAAAATCAAAAACATAATTTGCTATGATAACATAATAGCTATGAAATATTTTTATTCTTAAAAGAAATTGAATTGATTAAACAGGATTCTAATTACCCTAACAAGTGAGGTACGCAGATTTTGTTTAAATATATACAGTTTGATTATGAGAGTATATTTTAGCATGACGATAAGCGCCATAATATTTAGAATTATAACTGAAAAGGAACAAATTCCATTATTTTAAAATGTAATATTTACACCATTATACATTAAATATATGTACATATGTGTGTATTCAAATAATAATTAAATTCAACATAATAAAAAAAATTTCCTTAAAAAAATATGTCTATTGTATTAAAGTTTATAAATTTTTCTATACAACTTGCATTTTATAAGCACCGTCTCTGATTTACTCTTTTGCAACGTTGCTAATTAAACTCTGAATAGATAATCCGGGATTAGCGAAATATACCTAATTTAAACCTATTAAATTGAATTATTGGAGATTTTCTTTCAATGTGCTTCTTATAATACGTACGTACTTAACTTTTGTTGTATGAATAAAGATGCATCGATCCAATTTACAATTTTATGAAAAGTTAAACTAATTTTTCTATTTCAATTAAAATAACGGTAAATAATATGCGCAATAAAAATAAAATGAAAACTCTAGCACGCTTATTCGAAATAAAACTACTGAATTTAAATACTTTCAAAAAAAAATTTATTGATTTCGCAATTATTATTCTGCATCGCGGTTTGGCCGCAATTTCGATTTTACATAATAAATAAAGTGGGATCTAAACAATGGTTTGTAAAGTAGCACTTTTTACTTGAACAACAAAAATGCTGTCTTAGAGTCTATGCCGTATGGCGTTATTTATGTACTTTTGTTCATATACCAAGATATATGAAATATATAATTGCTGCTTATAATTAGGATGAGGAGAAGAAAAAAATTTAAAATAGTGTTATCATGGCTAGTGCGTTAAGATAAATAATTATACTTCTTGATGACCTACTATCCAGTCTACTCTTCCTTTTTATATAAATTTTTCATAGAAAATTAAAATTTTCAAATTACGAGAAGCGACAACTTGCAAAAGGGTGCAAGTGAGAAAAAATTTTCTTCTAACCAAACAAATTATACGGTCAAAAGCTACTAAAATTTCAGACTTATAAAAGAAGAGTGATATAAAAAATATGAGAAAAACGTGCCTTAGGAAACGTTTAATTTTAACAGCCATTTTGTCTTTTCAATGCTCAGTTGTGCTGGTGTTCTAATAAGCACTTTTTTCAAATTTTTGTTTTGGAAAAGTGCTAAAAATAAAAAACTTCACATTTCAAGAAAATTACATTTTACTTAAACCCAAAAATATTTTCCATCCCCTTTCTTACAATAATTTATTTTTTGTCTAGTCTTTACAAATTTTAAGTAAAATTGCAAGGTCTTGTTATTTTTTCATATGTATATGCAAACTTATGTACGTGCACATGCATTGAATAAAATATTAATAAATAACAAAAATATTTTTTTTTACTAAAACGTAAATGTTTCGTGGCATACCGTTTTAATATTGATTAAATATTTTAATAAGAAGTGAAAAGGAAAACAATATGAAAAAAACCGCAACAAGAAAAATTTTAAGTAAAATAAATAAACATGCAAAAAACTTACATATGTACATGCATACATTCAAACATACATAATACATTATGTGGTTAGATGTAAACAACCGGAATTTATTACGGAAACTTATTTATTTTTCATAATTCATTTTGTAAATAATTTTATAAGTAAATAAATAATAAAATTTAGTTAATTTTTATGTAAACGTATGATAAAAAAATTATTATTTTTGGGTTTTGGGAAGCTTTTCGATTTTACAAAATTTTTGTAGAGTCTTCGTACTAAATATAGAAAACAAATAATTGTCAAATAAATTCTATCATTAAATATAGATTTGTCGAATATTCGAAAATATTTTTTGTTTGAAGTATTGCAAATAGTTAGATAAGACTATTTTTAGGGTTTTTTTTGGGGGGTATAACCTTTAGAGAGGGTGAGACAGGTAAAACTTTTGTTCTATACGGAAAAAAGTTTCTAGTAAAGATCTATGTACGTATAATTTCAGCGTTCTATATTTAAGGGTGTAGAAGTTTTGTAAACTAAAAAATGTCCACGGACGGGCGGACGGACAGAGTGAAACTAATAAGCCCTTTTTTTCAAAAACTTTTTGGAAAAGTGCTAAAAACGAATAACGCAATTCGCTTATTTTGAACAAAATAATTAAAAAGGCGATTTTTTTGTCTAAAAAATGTGAAATTATTATTCAATACGCACATATACAATAATTTTTACTTTTGGCTATAATTTTATTGTTCTTAACTATTTCTGAATTAAAAGAGCAATATAAATTTTACTATTATTTTAATTTATTCAAAAAAATGTATGCATTAGGTAAATTCAATACGAAATGAAGAATAACCAAATCAAGAGCAGAAAAATCATTTTCCACGAAGTTCCTACTCACTTTTATTATTACAAAAATTACAATATTTAAAAATCAACCAAATCTTTCAATTGTACTAAACATACAAATAAAACGAATTTTAGTAGAAATCTGCAAAAATTCTAAACCTGGAAACAACTATAGAATTCAAAAACCGAAATACCACAAATTGAAATTGTTTCATTTGCAGTAAATGAAACTACATATGTGTATAATCGATTTAATAACAAGGAGCAAATATGTTGATATATTTATATGCATGTACAAAATTAAGTTTTGAAGAGCTTTCGTAATTTACATTTTGTATTTTTAATAACACATTTCATTTAAAAAGAAAATTTTTTGTTTATTATAAAAGTCTGCATTTAAATTTTCTTACTCCTTTACGCAATTTCTACAAAATAAGTATGTATATACTTTTTTATGGTTTGACTTAATGCTTGTGTATATGTCAAAACATTAAAATTCAACCAGAAATCATTAAAGAGAAAATTGCAAGCTGGAAATAATTAAATGAATAAAAACCAATTAAGAACAAAGGAAAGAAAAACAATGTTCGAGAAAAATAACCCTTATAAGCATATACGACGAGTTAGACAAATTTTTTATAAAAAAAAAAGCGAATCTGTAAAAAATCTACAAAAAGCGTATCAAGTTATACAAATAAATGCTAAACTTCTATCAAGTTATACAAATAATGCTAAACTTCTGCAACAGCACAATTTTTTCCATGGCATGAACAATCATAATAGATTCACGCTACCTTGCGCCGGATTTTTGCAAAGAATACAAAATAAAGTTGGTTCAAATCAAGAGTTTGTAAAGTAGCACTTTTTACTTCAACAAATCAGTCTATTACATTATTTAAACAATTTGCATTCTTATATCAAAATATTTTAAATAATTGCATACATTTAGAGCAAGACAAAAAAAAATAAAGAAGTGTTAGCATAATGTTAAATTCAAGGGTTAATATAGTTTGGAAAAGCTTGTAGTTTTGGAAATATAACATTCAATTTTAAAGTTCAACGATGCTAAATTGCGTTTGCATTTCCAGAATAAAAAAATTTTTTTTTTGTCTCGTTACAATAAAAAATGTATTTTTAAAGTCAAAAAATTCCTGTTTTATTAACTTGCGGGGCTATGAAAGTGTAAAAGTTTTGCAAAACAGACACACAGACAAACGGACGGGGAGAGTTAAACTAAACAGCATTTTTTGCAAAATAGTTTTGGAAAAATCCCTAAAACGAGTATTTATCAAAATGTTGAGGTTTCAGATAATTAAATATAGGGCTTTACAAATTTTCATTTGGTTTTTGAAAGAAAAGCTAACATTTTAACTTTAATAGATTTTAAAAGGATAAAAAAAATTATTTATGCCTTTTAATTTGAATACATACATGAAATGAAATATAGAACTCAATTTTCTAAAACATTTTTATAGTTAGATAATAAAGATAGGCTATTTTATAGACAACTCAAATTTATAATTAAATTAAAAATTAGATAACGTATCGTAATTCATAGTTGATTCTTGCAGCCAAAAAACTTTTTCACGACCGTATTGCATACAGTAAGGGGTGGTACCAAATTTCGGACGTCGATTTTTCGATGGAAATGTTACGCAAATAAACTGCAAAATAAACTACCGATTTTGGTAAAATTTTATACAATATTTTATTTTGGCTAAGTCACGGATTGATTAACTTTAAAGATATGTCGGGCCTCGGGAGCTGAATATTTTTATGGGTCCCTTACGCCATTTTTTTATCATTTTTAAGAAAATATTCTAGAGGTTAACTTGAAATTTTATTCAAAAATTTCGTTTGACAGTACGAGAAACCACCTAAGTTTTGGAAGAAGAATTGGTGTAAGTACTTTTGCTGCAGGTCATATTTACATTTTTTCGAATACAAAGAGAAATAGCCAACCAATTTCTTTGAAATTTAATTGTCGAATTCCGGAAGTTAAAACAATGTACTTATAATTTTTTTAGGAATATCAGAGCTCGGTAACCAATTTGGGGACCGCTTTTACTTTTTTTACCATATCTAAAGAGTTATATAACGATATCTTTTGAAATTTATTATTTGAGTTTTGTTTGCTACCCGTAGCCAGTTATTAACTGACGATGTTTTCAAAATATTCTAAAAGCATAAAGTGAACCTCTAATAAGCGTCAAATTTAGGCATTTCCAAAATCTTGTGCAACACTTTCGTCAAACTAGATATTACACCTTGCGGTAGGTTATGTGCCACCATATCAGACTTTTTTACAATGCAATGTGTGTTGTTGAGCATCGAAGAAATATTTTTCATTAGAGTTTTATTGAGCTCTGTTTTAAAACAAAGCTTAATTAATTTGTATGTACGATGTTCATTGTATATTGAGCTTAATTACGGAAATTATTAAGCGTTATACGATAAATTCTTATACAATGAAAAAATAAAAACCATTTTGTAAATGAAAA